CGATTTCATTTCATTTTTACTAATAACGTAAATGGATTTGAATGGTGACAAAGGTTCTAAAAAAAAAGAAAAAAGAAAAAAAAAACGTTATTTTGTCCATACAAAGAACTGTTTAACAATATTTGATAAAACATTTATATTTACGACAAAATATTTAAAAAAATGACCAAAGAAGAAAAAAGGAAAGAACGGGAAAAGAAAGCATTCTTCAAAAGGAAAAAGTAGAAAATTTTGTAGTTCGAGGCATATTTTCAGCACAATACATGAACAACATCATCATTAAATAACGTTAAGACTGTATACGAAATTCTGTGTCAAATTAGAGTAATGCGTAAACGTAAGATATTAGTATACGATATCAATGGCTGTATGTGGCGAAAGATGAGTCTAGTTTATTCAGAATGCAGTATTAAGTATAATGAATAACGTAGAAGCTGTAGCTGATGTTACAAACGATTATAATGTTATTCTTTTAACGATTAAAGAGAAGTAAATGTTAACTAAAGTCTGAGTAGCTTTTAGGGAATTTTAGGTAAGGAGTTTTTAGAGGAGAAGTCATGTAAACGTAGAGGATTATAGCCTCTGCTTCCATATATACCATATACATTCGCACACATGCTAGATAGTCCAAAAAGGGGGATGTTCGATAATGAACAATCACAAAAAAATGTACGACGATCATTGCATAATTAATGAGTAGTAGTTACGGACAGAAAGAAAATCGTGTGTAATCGCGTTACTACATTAGCGTAGTAGGGTGACCAAGCTTTCGCTTTAACGAAAAAGAAATGGACCAAGGAAGAGTGGAATTATATTATAATTAATATATTGAATTCAGTTTAAGACAAACTTTGATACTTTTCGCCATCTCGTGCATTTAATTTCAATTAAAAATTATTTTTTAAAGCATTTCTTAAAATATTTTAAGTACTTTTTCGTTTTACATATAAAAAATATTTAATAACGCGGAAGCTTCGATGCACCCTAGCTTATTTAGAGATACAATCGTATATTTTGCAATTCAATTTTCGCAAACGCTTGCCACTTATGTAGTTGAATAGACGAAGATTATTGGGTAATTATATATCCGTGAAAATAATCAATTTTTGATAGAAAAAAAAAATGAAAACGGATCGCTCACGGTCTCGCTTTCAAGGCTCAATTTTTTCACCTAGTTATTAAAGCAGAAATGAGCAAATTATCTACTTACTTACTTCCGTATTTCGTTCTAGCCCCAATACTGCCAAATACATTGCTTCCAGAAAATGTTATAATTATTGATATTAATTTATGTTTATATATTACGTTAATAAATTTCAAAAAATTTATATTAACTAATATTACTATACTTTTAAATAAATTTGCTCAGCTCTTGCTGTAGGGAGTCAAAATTGAGTATTTTTCTAAAGTCCACGTAACACAAAAGCGACTAGCGTTTAAATTAGCAATTAAACAATATCTCAGAAGTGCCAGTAACACAGTAAACTAATGTAGTGTATTCCGGCAGACAAATACTGAATAATTAAACGTAGATTCGCGGTATGAGTTATCGATAATATCAATTGTGACACTTAATAAAGTGATTGTATAAAAAAATTTGCTTCAGAGTTCATTCTTTCATTCTAATACATTTGTCATGTTGTTTAGTAACAACTACCTTATTTAATATCCCAAACAAAATTCATTTCATAAAACTGTTTCAATCTTTTCGTATCTTATTTTGTATTTCCCGCGAAAACCAAGTATATCGAACGACTTTTTAGTCGAACTATAATAGTGAATTACGTTGTTCTGTAGAGGTATTACTCTTACTTCGAATATCGAATATATCTCCGGACACATTAGTTTTCGTATATGATTGCATGAAAGTTAATCTGAATCTTGACAATAAAAAATTATTGTTTTTCACGATATAAGTGTCTAAAATATAGATATTATTATTAATAATAAGAAGTATATTAATTTTGAAAAGAAATAAATTAAAAAATCAAAGTAAGTGGATAGAAAAATGGTTAATGAAGAAGTGAAAGTTAGTATTCATTAATACTAAGTACTGAGATTATTATTATGATACCGAGAAATTAAGAGACAGTAATAGCTACGATAATAGTGTCGATGACTGAATCATTTATAAGTTGCTTAAACCCATCAATTGTATCGATGTTTGCATCGTGAAACGTATCAGCGTCCGAAGAGCTCGCTGGCTTTTTATGATACAAAGAGATTTGAAAGGATAATATTGTTTAGTTCAGAGGAACTATTGTCCTAAGTTGAGCAATTGATGCAAATTGCGAAATAACGGTGAGAGAAATATCAATAAAGGAAAATTTATTTTAAAAAGTGTTCAAAATGATATTCATTAACCTCCAGCGTTCTGCTAGGTGGAATACCCTGTATATATGCATGTACTTACATACATAAGAATATGAAATATGAGTCAGCATTCGAATTAGCCGTTAATTTCTCTTCTCTGTCATCCAGTGATAATCGAGTACAAATTACAAAATCGAAAGTGAGCTATGATATAATCTTAACAATGAAAAATCATATTTCCCTGGAAAAGTAAACAGTGGGAGACAGAAAAACAGACAAATTAGGATTAAAGTCAATAAATTAGAGTATTTACACAGATAAGAGAAACAGAAATAACGATTGCATCATATACGATATGGAATGTGCAATAATACACAAGTTAAATCAATTAGATCGAATTTGTTTAGTTTGTCTTCAATTCAGTGGAGAGATGGAAATGTAAAGATAGATTTTTTATAATTAATGATTATCGTCTATCGATATGTAACTGTTAAGCTTTCCTAACTGATCGATTATGTATAAAATGTAAGAAGTAAAGGATTAATGTCACAAAGCTACGTATATACTTAATGCAGTACAATAAAAATATTACAATTTTTTTATTTGTCTTTTCTGCGATGGTGCCATTTAATGTAACATCGTTATCATTTTTCAGGAGATTTATTACGTACACTGAAATTACATAATCCAACGGAGAATGTATAATTTCCATTAATTTATCAAAACATTGTGTCAATCTTTCATCACTTTATACGATTTAATTTTCAAATTTGTTAACAGTCAACAAATTTATCAGAAGAGGAATAACAAACAAGTTTTATGCTCAGAAATATGACCTTTTTACGGACAAATCTTTTTCTCTTGGTAAAGAACACTGATAGAGTCGAAAAATGATGTATGTTCGTCTGATATCTGGTATTGCATAAATATTAAAGTTATGTGATTGGATATAGGTTATAATTCATACCTCGAATACGATACACTATATTGCGCTAATAATGCGGTAAAAGTTAACGTGCAATTAAATTAATGGATACGGAAGGAATCCAAGTTTGAAGTTGTTTTATAACGTGCAACATTGCACGCGAACGAAGCGTTTGTTTCAAAGTTACACGATAACTTTCTGTGTTTAAATAGAACTTTTCTGTCGAAGAATGAACAGCTGCAATGTTGTATCATTATGGCAAGGTCATCATATACGGACATGTTGCCCCTAACGATACGTACGTGTTTAATCGAAGAGTGCCCCAATCACCACGAAGCTGTGCTATAATTGTACTTCCCGTGACATGACACCATTAGAAGCGATTCTATCTTCGAAACGAGAAGAAGACGTAACAAATGTTGGGAAAATCACATTCAAACAAGAAAAATTAAATAAGTGGGCCTCTCCTTTTTATACTTATATGAAAACGATATAGTTCGTTTTGCAATCTTATCTAGTTAGAGCAGTGTTGAAAATTATAATGCATTTAGCCTACAAGATTACGACGCTTCGTCGAAACAAAAATTTTAAATAATAATCTAGAACCACTCCATTCCTTTTTAGATATATGAATATGTACTTAAAATCAATCACTTAAGGCTAAAACGTGAAGTTATTCTTTATATTTCATTTGTAAATATCAGTATAATCACGATAATTAATATAACGATATATAATTATTACTGTTAATGTTAATGTACTTCTATTGTTACTATTTTGTTTTTACACTTTTAGTGCTATTATTTAGTAACACCGTTAAACAGAAATAAATGTTATATGTTATAATTGCGCAATTTAAAATTTATTGTACATGAATTTCATTATATTATTATGTTGAATGTATACAGAATGTTCACGGAAATATTAGCCAACATTTTTCTAAAAAATAATAAGCATATTGAAAATGTGAAAGGAAAAAAAGTTTTAGTGCTTTCTATAACAATAATGTGTACCAATTTTTTATATTTACCATAATTTTCAAGAAACGAGTGATCTTCGATTTCTATAGTCTATATAATTGTTTATATTATATGAAAACGAATATTAAGACAAACTCAATCATATAGTATACTAAGATGTTCAAGATCACACAAGGTTAGAAATGAAAAAAATGTTTAAACTATTTTTCATCGTTGTATGTAGGGGTATTTCTAATTGACAAGACTATCGCATGTTCAATATTCTGTATATATACATTATTATGTGTATAATAAATTAAAAAATATATCTAACGAATATATTTCATAATTCATATTAATTTAGCATTAAGTTACATCATGACCCTTGATGGTATTGTACTGACTTTAATAGTTTCGTAAAGCGGTTAAATCAGACCATCAAATATATATTTAACTTGTACGGAATTACTACACATTTTAAATAAGTAATTACTAATCTATATATCTAAAGTAAATTAAATGAAATGATTTATATATCATGTCTCAGTTTTATATCCTTTTCTTGTTTCAAAATAGATTTCATTCTATCTTTGATCAACAGAATGATCATAATGTACTTTCATAGAGAAGAGGGAATGAAAAAAAAAGAATTCAATCATGGCGCAGAATTAATTCATGGTAATTTCTGCGCATTTACGTGCACGAACTAAAATGACAAATAATTCCTAATAATTTCTTAAGGAAAACTTTTACTATTGGCGGAAATGGCAGAATAACAAGTCTTTCATAACGTCCTTCAAACGTTCCTATCGATTCTGATTATACGCGAAGACGTTATAATACGAAGTGTACTGTCGAAACATGCTAGTTCGTCGGTAACAGTGCTTGACCGTTTGTCGTTCAGTGACTGGTGTAACATTCATCGCTATTGGAGGGAAACATACCTTACAATTGTTTTTTTTTTCTTTTCTGTCGATCACAGTATCTTAAGTTGGACTACTAGAATTTTAAAGAAAAATGTCAGACAACGAGAATAAATCATGGTGTCATTCACGTCAAAATTGTGTCGTGCAACCACTTTTAACAGGTACTTACAATATGTACTTACATGCAATTCTTATTAATTGAAGAAATAATGTTAAAGGAAGTAACCTCAAACACGCGGGTTTACTTTATCTTATCATTTTCTTAATAGATATATTAAGTAATGATGTAACACGTGATGTTTCAAAATATTATCTACATGAATTGAACATTATAATTTTCAGTCAAATATTTTTAAATTTTCGGCTTTTTATTTTTTTCAATAAATTAAATTTATTGAAATTAATGTATTTAATATGGATTTGTACATAAATAATTGTTTTGTTATTGAAGAAAAAATTTATAATTAAAGTTAAAATTTGTTATTATATATAATTTGTAAATTATATAAATTTAAAAATATACGTAAAAATGTCAAAGAAAAATTTAAATATCATTTATATGATATCTAGATTTATATTGGTTTCATAATTGTAGATTTATACCAAATTACAATGGCATATGCCTATTGGAAAAGTGAGAAAATGAATGATCATGCTGTATTTGATTTATATTTTCGTAAAAATCCTTTTCAAGGAGAATTTACTATTTTTGCTGGGTTGGAAGAATGTATTAAATTTTTAGAGAAATTTCGTTATTCTTCTAGTGGTATGTATCTACTTTCAAATAGTATATTATCTAAATAACTTGAATTTACAAACATAAAAGATTGTTTACATTTTGAGATTTGTTATTAAAATGTTAATTTACACAGATATTAAATACTTAAAGTCTACAATGCTTTCATCAGTTGATCAAAGGTTTTTTGAATATTTGGAAAACTTGACTCCAAAAGATGTAACAATATCTGCTATGGAAGAGGGTTCAGTTGCTTTCCCAAGGTTAGTAAAAATTCTTTGGAAATTGCATGCATCATGCAAATAATATTTAGTTACGTTAATCATCATCATCATTGTCATCGTTTAGGAAACTTTTTCTTGCTCTTAAGACAGCAGTTAGAGTTAACGTTCAAATGCTTATCAACATTACATATTTGATGAAACATCAAATCTTAATAAGTTAAAACCTCAATACAAATTGATATGTTATGCAGAATACCATTACTAAGAGTAGAAGGTCCATTAATAATGGTACAACTTTTGGAAACAACACTGTTAACATTAGTTAACTATGCAAGTTTAATGGCTACTAATGCAGCCAGATATCGTATGGTTGCTGGGAAAAATATAACATTGTTAGAATTTGGACTTCGAAGAGCACAGGGTCCTGATGGTGGTTTAAGTGCCTCTAAATATAGCTATATTGGTAAATATTTTTTGTATCTTTATTTCCTGATACTTGTTTTATCGATTGAATACTTAATAACTCATCAATAAATTCATTCCTTATACAATATATAATAACTATTTACCATATTACTTTTATTATATGATTCACTAAATATAATAGTGATATTTATATATACTTACAAAATTTATATTTTTATTTTCAAATATTATTTATTTTACAATTTTTTAAATTATAATCAATAAACAGTACCATTCTGTAATACTTTATACCATCTTGATGATATATAACTTAATGATGAATAAATAATGTAATTAAATTTAAGTATATTTACATTATACAATTATATTTTATATTTTAAAAAGATTTATATTGAAATACGTATTTGTATATTAAATATAAAAAAATATATTAAAATATAAATATATTAAATATAAAAATTTTCCATCTTGTTTCTTAATTAAAAAAAAAGTAAAAAATATTTTTTTAGGTGGTTTTGATGGTACAAGTAATGTCTTAGCAGGAAAGCTTTATAATATTCCTGTAAGTGGAACACATGCACATTCGTATATCACATCTTTTACTGGTATCGATGATTTGCAAGAAAAAGTAAGTCAGTATCTTAATTAACTTGATTCAATAAAAATTTCATTTTAATATTTTATAACTTTTTTCAGACTTTGGCACATAAAGAAACAGGAAAAGTTTATGATCTTTTAGAATTAGCTTACAAATATCAAAATTCCATTGCAGCTGATGTAGGAACATTAGTTTCTGAGGCTTCTAGTGGAGAATTAGCTGCTTTAATTAGTTATGCCATAGCTTTCCCACAACGATTTATTGCTCTTGTAGACACATATGATGTGAAAAGGTATGACATTTTGCTTATTTTATCTATATTTTATTCCTATTTTTATTTTTTTTTTAATGTGTATTGAATTTTTCTGTTGTACATTTGATATATTGGAATAGATATTTTTTTAATCTTTTACATATAGGTATAACGTGTGTATGTATATCTAATTATTTGCATGCATATATTCAGAGTTCTATTTAAGGTACATTATAAAGTTATGTTTTTATATTGGCTATATTAATGTATTGAGCAATATTCTTTATTTAATATTAATTTATTTGCAAAATCTTTTATTAATTGCAAGCTTATAGTGTTTACTTCGAATATAAATATCTGTATTCTTCCCATTTGCATGAGTATAAAGTAGTGAAAAGAAATAGATAATGCAAAATACTTAATACAAATATGTATATTTAAAATTAAATACATACTATATAGAAATTCATTAATTGTTTCTACAAGTTCTGAGATAATCACGATTTAAAATTTAATTTCATTTTAAGAGATAATTAAAAATTTTTAGTACTAAATTTTATTAAACTTTTTGTAAAATACTAAAAATATGTTCAAGAAACACTGGTAATGTTGTATCATTAATTTTACTTTTAACTGAAAATATATTTAATTGGGTTTAATATATTCATTAGTAATCCTAATTGCAAATTCACAAAGCAGGCATGATGAAACATATACACACTGTAGCCTAACAGGAGTGTGTTTATAGTATTGAAGCCTCCGCCAAGAGACAGGCATGTATAGCCAGCCTAAATGTAAACAATAAACATCTAACAAATGGGTCCAATACACATGCCCAAAATGGTGTCAGAAACAATCCGATTATATCAGAATCAACTTCGCATCACAAGAATGGCTTTTTAAGTCAAGGCGAATTGGGTGAGCTCTATGTGAGGTACGATATTATCCTCTTTGTCTGCTTTGCAGGATAAATCATCATGTTTTTTCATTTACCAAATACAGTTAATCACTCAACTATTTTCATAAATAATAAATATACGTTACTAAAATTTTGATTTAATGTTTATTTTGTTAGATTTTAAATTATTGTATTTAACTATTACTTATGTTGTAATAACAACATATAAAATAACACTTCATGATATTTTAAATATAGTATTATTTTACTTAGTTTAATTGATTTATAAGAAATTACATCATTCTGTAAAGCGGGCAAATCTATAAGTCGTTGCTTCATTTCTTTACATATAACGATAGTAAAGGATCTAGGAAATCGTGAGTTACATTTCAAAAAATTGTACAAAATCTTGTATGAGACATTGCGACCTTATATAGTACCCTTCCCAATTCAGCCATGTAAAAAAATAATCATTAACTATCTGATATCGTATTAATAATATAATAACATCGACTCTAAGAACTTTGTCTGTTAATATCTTAAAAATCATAGAAATATATAGATAATTTAAAAATGTGTTAATAGAAATAAAAGAATTATTCTATTTACACAAAGTTTTTTCCATTGTATCATAATCAATATATTCTTAAAATTGATAACTTGCATGTAGTGTAGCAATTTACATTTTATTCACATGTCCTATATACATTAGTTATAATTTAGATATAAAATCATTAGTGGTATCATATATTTCATCTAATTAATGATTATACATATTTCATGCTTTATAGTATTAATAGTAACAATAGATTTCAGTATTTTGGAGAATCTTTAGTGTGTGTATATTTTTCATAAAAAATAAATTAATAATGTAGAAACATGCATTATGTTTCAAACTCTGCGATAATACTGTGTAAATGCATGTATAATTGATAACGATGTTCCATCTTGTTACATCTATGTATAATTTATAAGTAAATTTTGTACTCAGGAGTGGTCTTCTAAACTTTTGTGCAGTGGCACTGGCTTTAAATGACCTGGGTTACAAAGCAATTGGTATAAGAATTGACAGCGGCGATTTAGCGTATCTAAGCAATACTGCAAGAGATATTTTTGAAAGAATTGCCATCAAATACGATATGCCGTGGTTTGCGAAATTAACAATCTGTGCGTCAAATGATATTAATGAAGAGACCATTCTAAGTTTAAATGAACAGGTAGACAAATAATGTGAAAGAAATTTAGTTTCTCTTTATAATAAATTTGTTTACTTTTTGTAAAGGATGTTGTTTTTATAGAGTCATAAGATCGATTGCTTTGGAATTGGAACTCATTTGGTAACGTGTCAAAGGCAACCAGCATTAGGCTGTGTTTATAAAATGGTTGAAATTAATTGTCAACCTAGGATCAAACTCAGCCAAGAAGTTGATAAAGTAACAATACCAGGAAAGAAAAATGCATTCAGATTATATGGAGCAGATGGATATGCTTTGATTGATCTGTTACAAAGATCAACAGAAGAAATTCCACAAGTAAAACACAAAGTTCTCTGCAGGCATCCTTTTCAAGAGTCAAAAAGAGCTTATGTAATTCCATCACGAGTGGAACCATTACATAAGGTAAACTAATTAAATATTACGTTGTATATATTTAATAATTTAAAATATTTTTTATTAACATTTAGGTATATTGGAAAAATGGTAAATTATGCCAACCATTGCCTACATTACAAGAAATACGAAATAGAGTTCAAGAGTCCTTAAAAACACTCAGGAATGATCACAAAAGAAATTTAAATCCTACACCATATAAAGTAAGTTTCAATAAATATTTAGAATTATAAGATATTTATGTAAAACAATTAGAAATTATTATGGTGATTTATGCAGGTGGCTGTTAGTGATGATTTATATAATTTTATACATGATTTGTGGTTACAAAATGCGCCCATTGGTGAACTTTCGTGAAGTTGTAAATACATCATCATTATTAAAAAATAATGAACAAAGATTATGAACTTAAATGGCCTATTATTACATTAAGTTGAAGGTTTCAAGTTCTGGTTGTACAAGCATTTGATTATAGTAGTATATTTTCATAACTTATAAAATCCATATTATATGTTTATATAGTTTTACAAGTACAACATGGATAATCTTTAAGAAATGAAGTTTTAGATTGTATTACAAAACGATAGTCTTTGCAGTAACTATCATACACATTTAGCTATTCTTGATTTTTAACAAGGTACAAAACGGGTAAACGTGAATTAATTCTGCACAATTCATAAACTATTTTATATGTAAACAAAAAAGATAGAGTGTACATATAATAGAACTAAATTATAAAATCAGTAATGTAACTGAAGTGTACATAATTATTGATATCTTTCAAATTTCTTTTTATATATTAAAACCATTCATTAATATTTTCTAGCTTTTCTAGTTTATAGAAGTTAATTTCTTTTTTAATGGAAAAAAAAATTAAGAAAAATGATTTTGTAAGATAGCATAGTAAAAGTACTTTGATTATTCGATGAGAACATTGTACAAAGTTTAAGCATAATAAAAATTAAATGTACAATTTTAAGATGTATAAATGTGTATAAAAATCTCAATGAAAAGGAATCTATTTGATATGTGATATATGTATTAGAAAAAAATGTTTCGTTACTAAATATCTTTATATATCACAAAATTCATTAAACCTTTATTTTTAAAATCACCCATTTTATTAAAAAATGTTTATAATTTAATCTCATTTTTATATTATGTTATTGTATTCTAAAATGTTTTCAAAAATTTGTATAATTAGTAACCTGCAGAAAGTTAAACTTTATACAAAAATTTTAGTAAATTACATAGTGAATCTACTGTTTTATCAAATCATATTTAATGTATACAAATATACAAATAAAAATAATTGTTTTTGTAAAATATTGTTATTTATTGATCACATACTAATATATTAATACCAGTGTTTAAGTACAACCAATTTTTTAATAAAAGCAATATATAATAAAAGTTTTCCTTTTATATTTTTTTATAGTTATATTCACCTTCTCACTACCTCGATAAAAAATTTAATAATTTTAAATAATTTCTATCCTACAAGTTCTTCCCTACTATGCTCTATTCTTCTTGAGCATTAGTTTCTATAGTCTTACAAATCAAAGTAGAGTTACTGAATATGTAAAAAAATAGAAACAACCGTACAATCCTAATATCAAATATGTTATTACATAACAAATTTTATTTATTAAAAAAAGGTAATTGCTATTTGTTGAAATATTTGCAATTAAATTGAAGAGGTTATAATCAAGATCAATGAATAACCTCTACAAAGTTATTAATAGTTACAAATTAGAAATATGTCATAATATATTTCTTAAACAATAAATTAATATATGTATCGAATTACATTATCAAACTAATTTTTCTTTCTTGTAAGATTAATATTAAAACTTATATTTTATTTTATTGCTTGAACTCAAAAACAGCTGAAAACTAATTAGAAAAATCTTCGTAATATGTTTCCTCTTGCAGGAAATAAAAAGAATATACTGATACAATTATAATAAATTAATATTGAGAACAGTGAAGAAGAAGAAGCAGAGAAGAAAAACAACATTCTGTATTCAATTTGAAATTAATTAAATTTTATTTAAATTTATGCTATAAAAGATATTACAATTAGAAAATATGAAAGTATTTCCTCAAATTATTGTAAAAATTTGTCCGTTTATTGCATTGCTGTATAGTATAGTTGTTATTATTCTAACAACATATATTAATGAAAAGCTTACACCAGTATTCATATTTTTTTGTATTCAAGTATATTTAAATTGGTATTCAATATATGCTATAAGTTATAATGCAACAATTATGGAAGTTAAAATAGTAGGAAAGAAATTATTAGTATATAATAACACAGAAAACAATGCTGAATATAAATATTGGTATTGTGAAAAATGTATAAATTATACATATAAACCAACACAGCACTGCATTTTTTGCAAAAAATGTTTCCATTTTCGTGATCACCACTGTTTTTTTTTAGGTGCTTGTATATTGAGACAAAATATTGGAAATTTCATTTTATTTTGTTTTTATACATCATTAACATGTATATACTCATTATGTACTCTTGGACCTTACTTGTATGAGAATATTAATCGTGTAATAAGAACAGATACAGATTCCTTCAACATATTTTTGAATTTCTGTTTTCCTATTGCTCTCGTTAGATTACTACATTCAAAAGAAAATACTTACATACTGCTTGTAACAATGTTTGATATATTACTTTCTATTTTATGTATTTCTTTAGTGTATACAACATGGAAATTGCATAGTTGTATGACAGGTAAACAACGATACGCAAATATAACAGGAAAACAAACACTGAAAGAAATTTTTGGAAGCTATGGCCTTTCAAATATTATTTTCCCCTATAATGGTCTTATAGGAACTAGAGATCTTAATGGCAAATATGAATTAAAACAAATATAATAAATAATGGAAATACCTGCTAAACAAATAAACACAAAAATATGTTTATGCATTTTTTACAGAAATGTGTATATATAAAATGAAATACACATTCCTCAGTTATTGTAAATTGTATTATATTGTAATAAATATCACATATATTTAATACATTTACATGTTTATACATTCGCACAAACCATATTTTAGTCTTCATACATATAGTGTGATGAAATAATTTTCTATTACTACAAATACATGTATAATAAAGATTACAATAAAAATAATTGTGATTACTTATTTTATTTAGCTTTTATATATATCATGAAAATAGGGGTAACAATAAATTTTTGGCAACATAAAATTATTTAGTATATTGTTAAGAAAAATTTTCCTTTACAAAAATGTAGAATAATAGGTACTAATTTGTGATGAAATTTAACGATAAATTAATGTAATATTCTTACTTATTTTTAATTTATAATAGAATTACTTTTAACTATTACCATAACAAATTTTGTATCTAACTAAAAATTTTATTTTACAGTTCTGTATGTGCATGATGTTGGGCTTCGAAATCGTTAGGATGAATAAATATTCCTTCTGTTGTTATCCATTGAACATGAGGAGAATTAGAATAATAATCACCTACCACTTCAATCTGACCGCTAATGGGATTATTATAAGTTATTCCACTTACTGCTAAATATCTGTAAAATAAAAGAATTTCTAAATATTTAAAAAATTCTTTCTTATATATCATACAAAAATATAAGAAACTTACGTGTCTGTATCTACATGTTTTAACATAATAGTTTCATTTCTTCTCCAAAAGTCACTATCACATTTCAAAAGCCAATTATCACCATCATCACCTTCTCCCTTATGATTACCATAAGCAGATATTTCTTGTTTACCACTAAGTATTGAAACAACACGATGGGAATGGAGATTTTTTTTTGTTGCTATATGTTCTAGTCTTATAATATTTCCACATTCAATTGGAGCACTATTAAAAATTATTATTAACATCAAAAAATAAATTATATTATTAATGTCGTCAGTTACGTACCCTCTAGTACACTGATTCTTTGTTCCAGCCTTTACAAGCCAATAAGAATTTCCATCTTCTTTCGCTGTAGTCCCTGTTACTGATTGTTGGCCACTACCACTCCCATATTTTATGTCATGGGAATGTAATCTTACTTTATAATTTACATTCATTAATTTTAAGACAGAACCACATGTTACATGTTGTGTTCCTTTAGCTGAAAATATTTAGAAATTTGATAACAAAACATTATTCTTATTCAGAAATTTTACAACTATAATTTTTTTTTCAAAACAATGTATAATGAAATTATACAAATACTTTGTACGAATTATTAATATGAAAGGTACAAAGTAAAATTTCAACTTTTTACTTGATAAGAAAAAATAGGTTAGCAAAAAAATACTATCGATTTTAATAAAATGCTTTAGAACAATAAAACATGAGTATTTTATAAGATACAAGATATAACAATTTATTAACTATAATTAAAACATTAGCGATATCTCAAATTAGATAATCCTTAATTTTGACATTTCATAGAAAATACAACATATATTGAAATACCTTTTACAGAATTTGTCCAAAATACAAATATTACAAATGAAATCATAAATGTGAAATAAACGAAATTTTCTTTCATTTTTAGGACACTAATAAAACTTTAAAAATTGCAAAGAAATAGAAGCTGAAAGTTCAATACACGTGTATACATCGATATACGTGTCAACTTCCTATTGGTGTATGTGTAATATGACTAACTCAGTGGTTCTCAATTTTTTTATAATTTGAAATCAAACAATTAGAGTTTATTAAATAGTAACAAATTGTCACATATATGTGTATGTGTGTCTGTGCGTAATTTATAAAATCCTTATGAATTAAAAAAGAAAGTGTATACTAAACTGAAAATTTATAATTTATGTAATCGAAAAAAAATTGCAATGCAAGAAAATACTTTTGTAAATAACAATTATACGTTCAAATTACTTTATTTCCATATTTATTATGCAAATATTTTATAAAACAATGCTTTCTATCTTTAATTTAAAGAATAGTGAAACCACTAAAGATTTCATAATGACATGTAAAATAATTCATGTAGAAAAATGATGTATTATATTAAAAATGCAGTAATGTCCTTGGAATCATCTCAGAACAATTTTCTAATAAGATTGATAATCATTTCATAAAATTTGAAAAACGTAATAAACTGGAATTTAACATAAAAATTTAAAAGCTATCTACTTTGACATAGAGATTTTTTAATAATAGTACAAGTTTTCTTCTTATATAATAAAAACCTTACTTATATTCCCTTAAGTGGAATATGTATATATCCCAATATCGTGTAACATTTAGCATGAAAAATATTTGTAAATGTTATACATTTAATGCATAATGTTTGTATTTGATTATTGAATGATAGGAATGAAGTGCCATATGTGCAGACATTTAAATCTGCTGTCTTATTTAAATAATTCTTTGTATAATTTAATTGTACAAATGTATCAAGGAACTGTCCAAGCATTCTTGAAATACATTGTATATTGTGTTTTAATGGTCAATAATGAACACACGCCAATTAATACTCAACAACTTTTGGACGGGTATTAACATAAACATATGCTGCTATTACAACAAATGTTGCAGCAATGGTTGGTAACACAACTGTAAAAACACGTTGTTTGTTCTCTAGAAATTCCTTTTTTCTTTCTTTCTTCTGTTTATTTGTTTCTTTTGTCTTTCCCTTCAGTTGGCGCATCTTCTTGCTACAAATAAAATATTCATGTTAATAATATATATTAAAACAAACTTATTACATTTTTGTTTAAATTAGTTAATGTAGAAGCAACATAGTTGTAGATTATAAAATTATGGAAAAATAATAACAATAAAGATTTCTAGACATTTTTTAAAAATTATTGAAGTAAATTAATATATAACTTTCAACCATTTGAGTCAAGATGTTAAAATTATTATTAATACATTACCACAAATGTTGGTAAATCGTAAATCGAATACTTGTTACTTCAATCTTAATCAAATTTATTTTTTAAAATATAAAAATATCAAAGCAAATCCAGTGCATTTATGTTGCATATGTTTATGACAATTTTAAATACTATTAACATACACGCGCTTTATAATAAACGAAAATAATTTGTATACTGAACTGCAAACAAATAAGAATATAAATCTTAATACCTTTAATAGTTAAGACAATCAGATATTAAAAAACTTCCAAAGCCTGTTTTGGAATTCTCAAGCAATCGAGAAAAGCAGATTTACGTACATGACACGTAATAAAATAACGCTACCCTACCAATCGCAATTCCTGTCACTTCCGTATAGAGGTACTCAATTGAACTACGTTAATCAGTATAGTTTATTCAAACTATACCCTTGTGTCGTTTATTCGAATATCTTTTTCAGACAACATATCAAAAAGAATTATTTCGTTCCTTTTACTTTCATTTTACAATTATTATTTATTCAGATAAGTATTAATATTTATTTTAAATGATATAAGGCTTTCAAATGTAATACATTTTAACGTCGCAGAATAGTGTTATAATAATCATTGTTATGATTGGTAGATAGATTAAATGAAGAAAATTTTGTTAAAACGAATATTTCAAATCACAAAATAAATATGAAGTTTTTTTTTTTTCTGTATGGCATAGTATTTAATGGTTAATTTGTATTAATTATGATCATCATCCATAAAAATAAAAAAATTTCGTATGATTGTATAGCTATTACTCTTATAATATATTAAATTTTTATTGTAAAATAGTTACTTTTTATTAAATTCATTATAAAAAAAATGTAATATTTTAGAAGTTGACATCTGTTAGAATACTCTAGAAATTTTGTTTAATAAATCGGAGATTTCAAAAATGTTACTGTTATCATTGAACTATTTTATATGATTTTTATAGACTTGATCATAATAAAAAATTAATTAATAAGTTTTGTAGTTATCAAATTTGCAATATTATGTAATATATAATATTTGATAAAATTTAAAAAAAATTATTAGTATTAACAAACAGATAATGTATATTTTGCATTGTTATCAGCATTGTCAGATCTGATGCTATGCCCTGACTCAACTTTTATATAATTGGCTAGAGCAGGGACAGTAGAGGAAAAACTACTTAGATTTATGGAAACCATATCATTTAGAAACATAACACAAGGCCACTAAATTATATACTACAATTTTATGATTGAAATAGTTATTATGCTACTTATATAAACAAATTAAAGAAAAAGTCGACAATACAAAGCTCAGTGAACATAATAAAAGAAGTAAAATATATTTTATATAACTATATTATCAGAAGAAGCTATTATTTATTCAATATTTTTTAATATAGTGCTACAACTGTTAATAATCATTCAAGGGAACTTATATTTTGTAATATTATTTAATTACTAATTAGTATTTTTTCTATAAGATGTTTAATATGGATAAATAATGCAGAGCATTGACTTAATTTTAAGAGATGTTGTTTATTTTGTTTTTCATTAATTATACTTATAATGTACTACAGGATCTTTAAATTGTATAAATAAAATTCGTATTATCTGAATCATCATATACTTTATTTCGAATAATTAAAATTGTTATAAAATATCATATTTTTTATATTACAATAAAATTTTAATTAGAAATTACAAACATTTATTATTCTTATACTACAATATATATTATTCTTTTAAAGCATCACTAAGATTACTTTCTACAATATCCTGTTTCCATACATATTCCATGCTGTATCCATTTTTAGGTACACACGATCTTATGCAAGTGAATACTGCTAAAATACCCCAGTCAATAGATTTTAATGCATTTTCAAAGTCTAAGAAATTTAACAATTGAGGCATGACCTATAAAGGATAATCTCATTAATTGTATATGTAACATCTGTTAATAGACATACAAAACTTTTACTTCACCTGAAATTCAAATTGTCTTTCCCCATTACATTCTGGACATCTTGGTATTTCAAAAATTTTATTTTCATCTGAAATATATAAAACATGACCTCCTCTGTCATATCTGGAAATATAAAATCTATCATATTAAAGTGATTTTACTTATTTAATAAAGCAAAAAAAACAGTATAAAAAATCTGAACCTTAATATTTGATCTCGATATCTATCTATAGTTGAAAGAAATGTAAAAAATGTTTCATCTACATGTTGATTAGCCATACTTGAAACTAAATCTTGTACATTTTCATGTGGAAATGTTCCTGCTTCACCTTTTTCTACCATTGTTTTATATTTTTTCATTTCTTCTTCTTCTTTAATTAAATCATCTGTATTGTCTATATCTTCTTTATCTTCCTCTTCTATTACTATTTCATATTCTGGTAACAAAAATTTAGTCATTTTCATTACTTTTTGATTGTTACCACAAATTTCTTTATGCCCATGTTTCCAATCATAAATTTGATGAGCACGACAACAGTAATTTACTATTTTACATATAGAACAATGTTTTGGTGCTAATATTCCACAAATATAACAAGTTTTCACCCATTGATTTACACCTAAAATCATTTAAGTTGTTTTTTCTTGTTGCTTCATAAAGTATTGGAATAGTTTAGATAAACAATGTAAAAATTTAAATCAATCTCTTAAAGTACATACTAATATCAGTTCTCCAATCATTTTGTTCTATAGGCGGGTCTGATGGATAAAATTCATTTATCCTTGGTAACTGAGAACGGAAAACTTTTAAATTTCCGTTTTTATTCAATTGAGAGCATTCTACTTTTTTACATATAAAAAGAAAGATCGTTCTATGAAAAGCATCTTCACTGTTTTCATATGGTGCATAAATTTGACATAAAAAGATACAAGGTTCTTTACAATATTCACACTGAAGATACTTCTCTCCGGGTATATTTTTTAAATCAAGCCATGCTGGTTTACCGCCGACTTTACTTGGAAAGAATCTACTTTCTAATTGCCAAGATTCGCATTTTTTTACGAAACCTAAATCTGTCATTTTTTTAGGTAACGTTTGATCAACTTATCTGTATTATAAAATAAAAATTAGTAAGGCATTTCTTTTGATGACAGTTTACAATTGTACACGTGCTAATCTATTTACTTATTCTTATAAATTGTACCACTTTTAAATTGTAACTAAATAAAATATTACTAGAATTATTACACTATATTAAAAACTAAAAGCTGTTTTTCTTAGGTTATTATTAATCTTTTTAATAAAATAGTTTTGCTTAAAAAAATGTGTACAAGTTATTTATAAAATACTTTACAATGCTACATCATAGGTAATTATCAGAGCAGGGGAGATTCTTTAAATTATAGGAAGTTTACAATCTTATGAATCATTTTCATGGACAATAGTTCCATAGGTGTACATTATACATCCTTGCGTGATAATTTGGTGATTGTTGTTTCTTATTTAGGTTAGCCATTTAATTACAATATTCAATTTCTAAACTATTTTATTGTGAATTTTGAAAGATGATGTCTCTTTTGGAAAGTCTACAAAACTCAACATGTGCGTGGTTCGAAATAGGCAACAAACGAAATGTAATAGTCTCTATGTCCGCCGGATCTTTGGTAAACATTACAATTTACATTATTCTAAATGAAACTGACAGTAAATAACAATATATTTGCGATGTAATTGTTCATAAAACATATCAAATTGTGATACTACAGTAGTATAATTTTTATTCTTTTTCTGTGAGATATGTGTATTTTAATATAAAAATGAATAAGATAAATAAAGTATATACTTTTTATTGCAATTTTAATGATTTGTAAAAATAAAATATAATACAATAATGATTATGTTTTGCAATTCCAGTTTTTTATAGGATGGTGGTTTATCATTGATGCCCATGCTAAGTATCCTGATGAAATGGCAAAAGCATATCATATATGTGGAATATTTGGAACTATATCATTATTCATGTAAGTTAATGATTATATTTCTATTGTGTAATGATTAAAAGTTATGATTTATTTGATTCAGGATAAATTCTGTAACAAATGCTCAAATCAAAGGTGATGTACCTAATGGTGGTTATCTTGGAACAAGAGGTGCAAAAAGTTGGTTATTTATTGGATTTGTAATAGGATTTGCTGCAGTTATTGCAGCTTGTTGGATTTTATTTGCAAACTTTGTAGCTGCAGGTTTATATATCTTACATAATTCTGTGCTAATGATTGTCATTATTTTAGTTTCATTAAGTTGATTTTTCAGGAGCTCAGCATCATTGGCCTGGTGTAGGACTTTTTCTACAAAATATATTTATCTTTCTGGGATCCCTTACTTATAAATTTGGACGACTAGAAGAGATATAAAATTACTCAATGTTTGTATATTACAAACATCTTTACATATTTGTGTAAAAATTTTTGGTTCTACTGGATTTTAAAATGGAACACTTTTTATTGAAGAACAAATAATTATACATTGTATTATGAACAAATTGCATTAGTTCATTGTAAAATTATATAACTATTCTTGCTTTTATTTACATAAATGTAGTTGTTTAAATGCTTACTTGTATTACTCATTCATAGTGAATTGTTTTAAATTCAAATAATTAACACTATTTTACAGTTACATATTTGTCATGTAGGTTGCTTAATAAAATTATAATATTTTTGTGATAGCTTTCTTATTATAAAATACAAGGTAAACAATTAAACTAAAATTTGATAAGATTTTGACTTTTAATAAATATCTATATACAAAGATTATTTTTGTTGCAAATACTAACATAATTTATACTAAGTTTAGCATTTATTGATGTAAAACTGCACGACTGTATACTTTGATTTTTTAAATAAATTGTAGTTGTAATTATTTATTACATAATTCTTTATCATTCCCTTTTACTTTTTGTTATTATAATTGTATCAAATATTCAAGAGATGAAAGATTAAATTTAACATTTAAAAAAAAAAAAAAAAAAAAATTGCGAAGCCAGAAAATTCTTTGAAATACTTTATATTATAATGGGGATGGAGGGGCGAATAACGGATTATTGGTTTTGATTTGCCAACGCGGACCAATATGAACGTTTTCTTCCATCTTATTTTACCAATCCCGTTGTGCCACACAAACACATGGTTCTTGTTCAGTTTGACGAAAGAGTAAGAGTTGTACGTTGTTTTTCGTTGCTTTAAACAAATTAAAACGTACGCGTACTTATGTCTAATGGTTTAAAGTCAGTAGTTCTTTTGTCATCAGACTAATATTTTTAGAATAAGAAGAAAAAGTAAGTAAAGTTATTTGCGATTCTTTCTTAATTTCTTAATTACCATAACCAAGTTTGACAGACTTAGAGAAATCCTCGTGTAATCAAAATCTTTTGCGCGGCTACAAGTGTTTTATATGAATGAAAATTACTTTTAAATAAATTTCTTTTGTATCGATTTATAGATATTTATTTTCACTTACGAAATTTATGATATAATCTTTCTGTTCATTGTAATATTTAATTCAATACTTTGTTGTTAGTATTATATTGTCAAATATTGTGATTTCTGAATTTATACAAATTTTTATTTTTCTTGTAAAATAAAACATGTATATTTTTATCTCGTCTTTTTTTGAAACTTTTTTTAGCTATGAAAATGTTAGTCATTGATTATCATTTTTCTGTTAACAAATGACATTTAAGGAATTAAAATATATAATAAATATGTTATTAAAAATGAAATTTGAGTATATCATAAATTATAAATTTAGTAATATAAATTTAGTGTGTATGAGTGCGCGCGCGCGCGCATATGCATATGTATATGTGTGTGTATGATGTGTATGTGCATGCCTAGCATATGTGTATATATGTGTATGTATTTTTTATCTGTTATAAATTACAGATGAAATTAAATACATTAAGTATGTTCATTATTTGGTTGCTATTAATTATTGTTGCAACCTTTATTGGACATAGCAATGGGATTGCTATTATGAGTATTGATATGGGTAGTGAATCAATGAAAGTTGCCATTGTTTCAGTAAGTAAATCTTATTTGTGTTATCTCAACTTATGATAAATTTTGTTACCTGTTAGTTATATTATTAATTAATGTTTTATAATAGCCTGGTGTTCCTATGGAAATAGCTTTGAATAAAGAGTCAAAGAGAAAAACACCAGTTACAATTGCATTTAGAAATGGAGAAAGAAGTTTTGGAGAAGATGCTCAAGTAATAGGAATTAGATCACCTCAAAATAGTTTTTCATATATTCTAGATCTTCTAGGAAAAAGCATAGATAATCCTATGGTGGAGCTCTATAAAAGAAGATTTCCATATTATGATATTATATCTGATGAAAAGCGTAAAACAATTACATTTAAACTGGATGAAAATACTACATATACCCCAGAAGAGTTACTTGCACAAATTTTGCATAAAGGAAAAGAATTTGCAGAAAATTCAGCTGGTCAAAAGATTAGTGAAGCAGTAATAACTGTTCCAGGATTTTTCAACCAAATTGAAAGAAGAGCTTTTATGCAAGCAGCAGATCTTGCAGAAATCAAAGTTTTGCAACTTATTAATGACTATACTGCAGTTGCATTAAATTATGGAATTTTCCGTAGCAAAGAGATAAATGATACTGCATATTATGTAATGTTTTATGATATGGGAGCTAGTAGTACAACTGCAACAATTGTCAGTTATCAAAATGTAAAGACAAAGGAAAAAGGATTTGTTGAAACTAATCCTCATGTTACTATTTTGGGTGTGGGTTATGATCGTACTTTAGGAGGGTTAGAAGTACAAATTAGATTGCAACATTATTTGGCAAAAGAATTTGATGCTTTAAATAAAACAACAAGTTCTGTATTTAGCAATCCAAGAGCAATGACAAAATTATTTAAAGAAGCTGGTCGAGTTAAGAATGTATTAAGTGCAAATACTGATCATTTTGCTCAAATTGAGGGGTTAATAGATGAACATGATTTTAGACTACAAGTTACCAGAGAGAAACTAGAACAGCTTTGTACTGATTTATTTGAACGAGTAGCAAATCCTATCAAAAATGCTTTGAAAACATCAGGTATACTAAAAAAAATTAACATATAAGATATGTTTATCATTTTATTATAAATTGATATGTACTTTTTAGGTTTAACAATGGATGTTATATCTCAAGTTGTATTAGTGGGAGCTGCTACTAGAATGCCAAAAATACAAGAACATTTGAATCAATATTTACCAGTTGAGTTATCTAAAAATATCAACACAGATGAGGCAGCTGCAATGGGAGCAGTATATAAAGCTGCAGACCTTAGTAAAGGGTTTAAAGTAAAGAAATTTGTTACTAAAGATGCTGTATTATTTCCCATCCATATTGTTTTTGATAGAACAGTTGATAACAGAGTGAAGCAAGTAGGCTTTCATTTTTATGCATTTATACATTGTTATTTTTTAATTTTTACTAAGATTAAAGGTATACTATTTGAAAGTATGATGTTCTACTTTTAGGTAAAAAAATCATTATTTAGTAAAATGAATCCTTATCCGCAAAAGAAAATTATTATATTTAATAAGTATACCGAAAATTTCCAATTTCATGTCAATTATGCAGAATTGGATTATTTACCACCTAATGAAATAGCGTATGTATATGTAATAGTTATTGTTTAAAGCATATTTATTTATGTTTACTATCATAATTTTTTTAATTTTAGTGCCATTGGTAATTTCAATCTGTCCACAATAACTTTATCTGGTGTAAATGAAGCTCTAGATAAACATAGTAAAGATGGAGCAGAAAGCAAAGGAATTAAGGCACATTTTGTTATGGATGAGAGTGGCATACTTAACTTGGTGAATGTAGAATTAGTATCAGAGAAATCAAGTTCAGCACCTAATGAAGAAGAGGGTACTTTCTCAATATTTGGCTCAACTATTAGTAAACTTTTTGCAGGTTTGTGCTGAATGCATTGCAAAAAATGTTAATCACATTTACTAATTTGAACTTGTTTATATCTTTTGTTTTTCTTCTTAAATGTTTGTAGAATTTAGTAATTTAGAAATTTGATTGCAAGAATAAATTATTAGAAGTATTTCTAACTTTTTTTTTAGAAATATTTCTTTTATATAAATCCATTTTTTGCAAGCATTTATGAAATATTAGATGAGATGGAAGAAAGTTAAGGTACACTTCAAAAATAAGTGTTAATTGTCAAATGTATGTAACCACATTATAAGATTATGTGAATTTAGTGTATTTACATTTGACATAACTTTCTTGTAAATATGAATTAAATATTTAGATAAATAACATTAATAAATTTTTTAGGGTCAGAAGACAAAGAAGGAAAAACAGAAGAACCATTAAAAGAGGATGTAAAACCGGTTCACGAAGATTCGGAATATCCTGAACTACAAAAAGATTCAGGAAATAAAACAAAAAAGAAAAATGAAAGTGTAGTTACTGAGGATAAAATAGTTAATAAAACTGAAAAAGTAGGAAAGGAGAAAGAAAAAAAGGCTACAATTGTAACAATTAAAGAACCTATTAAAGCTGATGAAATTAAGTTAGGCCCACAAATTCTTTCTGGAGACAAACTTGCTGAATCTCGGGAGAAGTAAATACAAGGAATTGCATATTAACTTTGTATGAAATATTTACTATGCATTCTAACTTGAATATTATTTGATTATTTTAGATTACATCGCTTAGATGTACATGATTTCGAAAAAACAGTACGTGAAACAGCTTTGAATAATTTAGAAACATTTATAATTGATGCCCAACAAAAATTAGAGTTAGAGGAATATGCTGCTGCTGCTACTTCTCAAGAAGCAGAAAAAATACTGAAAGCATGTTCTGAAATTTCTGAATGGCTATACGAAGATGGGTTTAGTGTAACTGTGGATGTATATGAAGAAAAGTTATCACAACTTCAAAAGCTTACTAATGATGTGTATGAACGAGTTTATGAGCACAAAGAACGCGCGGACGTATTAAAAGGCATGACATCTATGTTAAATGCAAGCACAAAGTTTTTAAATAATATGCGTAATCTGAGTTTATCGAGCGAAATTTTCACTCAAATTGAGATAGAAACGTTGGAGAAAGTAATTAATGAAACTCAGGTAAATTGTTTTATTGTACTTTGTTATTAATATACTGAGTAATTAATGATGTAACATGTAACTTTTATTTTTAGGAATATTATAATATAGTTATTAAATCCTTTGCTGAGACCGCTTTACACGAACCCGTGAAATATAAAGTTCGTGACATAGCAAATAAAATGGCTTTGCTTGATAGAGAAGTGAAGTATCTCATAAATAAGGCAAAAATATGGAAACCAAAACAAGAATCTCCTACAAATCATACAGAAAGCACAAATGAGAATGCAACAAACACAGAAGAAGAACCAGAATCTGAACCTGTTCCTAAATCAACAACTGATCCTCATATGGAAAGCCTTCAGAACGAAAATACATCTGAAAATGAAGAAGTACAAACTGAAAAATCATCAAATACAGAAGAATCAACAAAATTGTCAAATGATAACGAACCTGAGATGACTCGTGAAAGTATTCAAGAAGAAGTACATCAAGAACTTTAAAAAAAGATTTATTTAAAAGTGTGTGATTTTTATAATTGACCGATCACACCTCGGTTAATAAGTTAGACAATTTGTTATGTAATAGAACAAATTTATGAACGCATTTAAAAACGTAAATCAAATTCGAGAAAATACATGTTATCGTGGCTGGATGAATTATTTTGCGAACGTGAATATTAAGTGTTATTTTATTTAATTTCATATATTTGTATAAAATTAATAAGGAATATGGAATCGTTTTTCGTACAAGAAACTAACAGAATTATCTCATGACGTTTTGCATACAAAGAAAAAAAGAGAAAGGAAAACCGACCATCGTAAAAAATTTGTTGTATAAAAATTTATTTTTTATGTGCCAGTTAGAAACAAGTTTAAATAACAATTTAATATTTTTGAACAAATGTATTATTGTCAAATAGCATTGCGTTTACCAAATGAATAAATTATCAATGTGAAATCATTATTTGCAAATGATAATGTTTTATTTGGTCGGATTTCATCTACTGTGAATATAATATTTAATTGTGATACTTAATACTATATTCTTAGATATGCTCTGTGCTATAACTTAAAACTGATTTTTTACAATCATATACATAAAGCACTATAATTACACATGCATACATATGAGACAACCTCTTTAGCAAAAAAATTTATTGTTTTACTCATTTTATTTACATTCCCATTTAATTAATTCTCACTACAAAATGCCTAACTTTATAGTAGTTTATACATTGCTCGTTACATCTACAACGTAATTCCTTTTATAATGTAATAATTATGCATTTAATTTTGTTATAATGAAGCATGTCTAATTTGTAACACGAACTACATTAAGTGGGGTGGATTTAACATGATAATGTTATTTATTTAAAGTGAGCTCCAATTTGTGCCCAAAATAATTTGCTTTCCTATAGGAATTTGTTGCAAATGAATTTAAAACCATTCCAAATTAATGTAATTGTAATTTAAATCTATAAATTATGTTATTTATTATCTTGAGCGAATAAAGCAGTGTGTAGGATATTAACAAAGTAAAGGATGAGAAAAATTAATGTTATTTTCAGTTGTCACATTTAATATATATTTAATAATTTGAATAATACAGATACAAAGTCTTCCTGCAATCATATGTAATATTAAATAAAATAATTTATAATTTATTTATTTTTACTTGTGGTCGAAAGTAGTATTACTGATGCGTGAGTCATAATTTTTTTTTATTTTCTAGTGCATTATAAAAAGCTTTAGTACATTAAATTTTATAAAATTCAAAATATTTTCTGTATTTGAAAGATTATATTATACCTAAAATGTAATAATCCTTACATTATTTAATATTTATGAAAATTACAATAAAAAACTATGAAACATCTCATTCAATTGAATCATTATTAATTTATTATGAAAAATTAAAAATCAATACGTTTTACTATACTTTTAAATCATTCTTTTAAAGTTAATTTCGTGTTATGTCGCTAGATTGTTCCACAGTCGTGACAAAACAAAACATTCGTAGTTCACAAATAAATGCAGATTGCTTCCATATTAAGTTTTCACATAAAATAAAATATAATACAAAAATAAAATATGTCACAATTTTAAATATATGATTTAAAAATTCTTTTTTTTTTAACATATTTATTATTTGGGTTATACACTTAAAAATAATCATGTACGAAACACTAATGTTAATCTAATGTTAATTATTTTCGATGATTTTATAGAAAATAGCTATGTAATTTTAATTTCTTGCCACCATAATTTATTTTTATTAAAGATATTTAATAAAAATCATGTTGCGTCAACTTGTTCGAGTATTATTGAGAAGAGCTCGATCTGCTATGGTAAAGTTCAAAATATGACTCAATTGAAATTGTCAATTTTCTTACCTCTATTAATTTTTTTCTACAGTATGTTACAGGTATTACATATGTAAATCAGCCAGAAACTAGTAAACCTACTGTAGATGATAAATTACAATTTGAATCTATAGATATTAAAAAATTAACCCCTGAATATATGATACAACAATCAACCATAGATGCTGTTAATAGTGCAACTCAATCGTTAACTGTTGCATATGTTGCAATCATGACAACAAGTAATGAATATCAGTATGTTCAATCTGTTTATCTAATTAAAAGAATTAATAAATTTATACTCATATTAAAATTACATAAAACTACTTTTTAGGACATTATTAAGTGAATTAATTTCTCTTTCGAGGCAAACATTAGAATTTAATGTTAACGATACACATTGGGACATGATAGTTGAACTAAGGTCAAAAGTACAAAGTAAAAAGGAAATTTTAAATGTAAGCAGAAACAAAATAAATTTATGTTGATATTAATAATACAGTTTATATATATATATATGTATATATATATAGATAATTATTAAAACTATTTTTCATACATTTTTGTAGAAGTTAACAGGATATATTGAATATGTACACAAAATGGCAGTAGCTGCTTCAGAAATAAGTTACTTGTCTGGAATGGATAGTTTGTCTTTTACTCTTACTCAAAGAATAGATGATATATTAAGAAATATAAGGGAAAAAGTCAATCATATCATAATACTTGAACAAGAATATTGTGATGTACAAAAAGAGTGTATTCAAAATTGTAAGTATAATGGAATCAATGATACTAATAGATTTCTTTTAATTTTACTATATTTTCTTTGCAGCTAATAAAACAAACAATGAATCTATAGGTAAAGCAGAAACAGATTAATTTATTTGGTGTAGTAAAATATTTTTTGTTCACAGCATAAAATTTATGTTTAAGTTTTTGTACAATAAATAGAAATATGTAAAAAATAAATTACTGATACATCTTATTTTATCCTTTAATGAACTTGTTGAGATTATCGAGTAAATTTTAAACAATAGAGAGATAACAAAATACTATAATTTAGGAGAACAAAGAACAATAAATTCTGCATAGTTAATTTTAAATAAAACAAACATAGTTGCTCAAGCATCAATATGTATTGTTACAATGTGTCTACCAGGTATCATTGCTAAACCAAGAGTTCTTTCTTCTGTGTGATCCTCTGATAAAAACTCTGAACATGATCCTAAAATTACATTGGCATCACGGTCAGTACATAAGAATGCACCTATTAAAACACGTCCATCTGTTATTTTTATTCTTAACTTTCGATTCAGCCATCCACGTAATTTCTGTTTTGCTGGAGAGTCGTCTGAATCAGTATCCTAGTACAATTGTACAAATAAACTTATGCTATTTTAATTCACAATGTATACACGTTAGTATTAAAAAAAAGAGTAATATCTATTATATTATAAATATATTTCATAGGAAAATCTATTTTTGTACAAAACATGCTTTTATTTATATTAATACATTGTAAATATTAACTTCCTATTTTGCTTTTTACTCAGAATAACTGTTATTATATATAAATTAAAATGTTTAGAATTAAATGATTTGATATAATTATAAAAGTAGAGCCTTACTAAATAATAAAATGTTATTGTCAAATGCAGTTAAAAGGTTAAACATTTCTGTAACAAACACACACTTAACCTTAAACAAGACATATTTCTAATCATTATACTATAAGAGTATTTCGTAAATATAATTTTAAAATACTATATAAAATATGTACTTGTAAAGTTACCGAATCATCTTCATGAATATGATCATTGTTTGTCGTGTTGGATACGTTGTGCCCTTTTTTCATATCTGTCTTATTGTACATTTAAGTATTGTTTCAAGCAAATAGATATTGTTCTACTAAATATATGTATTTCACGAAAATGATATTTAAATAAAGTAAAATGTTTCCCCGATTATACTTATGTTGTTGTAGATTTCATTAAGGTACATTTACAACTCAAATTTTTCAGAGGGTAACTTTTCGCATTGTAAACAGCTTACTTTAAATTGATACACAAAGTGCTGATCTCCGTCGATAACTTTTTATTAAATTTAATTTACTATTTAAAGCTAAGTACATTTTAGATCCCATCAATATTAGTTATTTTAAGCTTTTATATATCTATAATAATTTTTTTTTAATATTTTCAGAACAATTTGTGATTTTTGATATTAGAAAAGATACTCATAGATGGCGATAATATCTCTGTTTAACCAAGCATTTCAAAATATGAACTACGTCTGTAAAGCACACAAATATTTTGTAATTACCCAGCATGTAAGTAATTATATGTTCCGAATAATTGTTTTGTAAAAATTGTTCAATGTATATATGGAAAAATAGCTTTGGAAGTAATAAATTTATCTAAATGAGATAACTTCTGAAAATTACGAATATACGAATACGATAAATTAAAAGCAACTAACCGTATTAGTTCATTTGTAAAGCTATGGACATAATATATAAAAATATTAGTACTAATATTTGATGTTTGATGCATTCCAGTTCCTAAAAATGCCGATACAATTCAGAAGGCGCTATCATCTAATTTCTTTTTATGTTTAAAAACAAGCAAAATATGTGAATATTAGTCTTCCTTATTCATCTATAACCTAACAGGTAATTATAAACATAGTATTGTCTCATATAAATGACATTCTTTGTTTGTTATCTTTATTTAACTTGGCCATGATTTTAGTAAATGGTAGTAGATGCTAATTTGTGGTCCATAAAACAACAAGACTTGACATTTTATTCAATCAGAATACCACGAATTATGATCAATTATATAAGGCACTAAAGTTATCGAATATTCTTTTTTGATCTAATTTTGCTTTATTCAAGATTACTAATCTCTATCTTTGCAGGTGTAACGTTTATAGCGTTCTCGTTTAAATGCTCGAGCAGGTTACGTGCGTCGGTTTAACGAACGGTTAAACGTCCTCTTGATTTCCATGTCGTCAGATGAAATATGCGAACGACGCGTTGCGGCAATTTGTACGTAATTTCGTCGTAGCTTGAATGCACGATATAACTGAAGTGAGTGTAAAATATTCATTTTATTTCTGTATCGTAGACATTTTTTGCTATTGGATCTGATCAAATTTATGTATTAAAATCTACATACAATATTAATCATTTTTTAAATATTTTTTTACAGTTTCCTAGTGAAACGGTATTTCATATGTACACGCGATCTTTAAAATAATTTATCTTTTAGAAAGGAAGAAAGATGGCAGGATGGTCTCTGTCGACGCGTTAAAATTTTCAGAATTTCATAATCGGTTACGTTGAATGGAAATGACCCGCGGTATAAGGTTACAGGGTAAAAAAAAAATGGCGGTGGTCCAACTGCTCTTGCCGGTCCAGATTTTAATCTTCACCGGGAGAACGAGAAAAAGCAAGAATGTCGTAATCTTGATTCAAACATCCGTGAGAAGAGGGCACCAGTAGGGGTTTAGGAATTTTTTCAACGTCAAGAGAATCTGATTGTTCTCTGTCTTCTGTTATATGAGAAAATAATCTTGTTATTATCCGATACTTTTTTTCATGCACGATGAAAATAATTATCAATGTATCTACTTAATTTTATATTTCTTTTATATTTTATATGATCATTAATCAAAGATTCAGTTCTTTTGTTCGATTATTGTCTTATATATATTTATCGCGACGGAATGGACGAATACTCGATACGTTGCTTCTTGGACGAGCTTTGACGTGTGAAAGCCGCCCGTTCATTATGCTACATTTGTGTGAAACTCTCAATTAAATGTTATGCCGGTTATTTTCAGGAAATTAACTTCAACGGCGATTGGTCCGTCGGTTGAATTAATCAAACTGAAAATTAACTTGATTTATTGGAGGATGAGGAGATAGGGGGATTATTAATTAGCATTACCACGTGCAATTAAACTTCGATTAATAAGTTACCACGGGCATTGGCTCATCTCAATATTAAACGATCATCGAGATGATCATAAGAATGGAAACTATTCCAATTACTCTCTCAATAGGTCCTTATAGAAATTGCGAAATCACATCAATACTCAGAATATGCGCCATATGTAGAATTTATAAGTTTTCTTATAAGACAAACTTGCGAGACAAGTACGACTTTTTCTTTTTTGGAGAACTTAATGCTAATCTTTGTTTGAAATTCTCAAAACTACCAAAACTGGTATTAACACGTAGAGAACAATGCAGTTGATAGTCGGGGTTCGCTTTAGCCGTGTACTAGAATTAATCTCAAATTAATTTCGGTAACGCTATTTCGTCCGCGAATGCCGATAATCCGCAGAAAGGGGGCGAGACCGAAGGGGAATTATCGTACCTGCTTTTATCGAGGTCCATTGTTGCCTAAATATATCGGGGTTATTTTGAAACCGCGTTGCCGAGCGAGCGTAACGCTTATTTCGCTCATTACCGGGGCCTGGCTTTAGCTGTCTTTCATGCGGTTCGAATGATAATTCAATTATGCCCGCCGTTTACACGCGCCGGTCGAAATGGCTCGTGAGAGCATGAATATCGTATACTTGGCTCTGGTAACACCGGCCAGAACCCACCACACGTGCTATACTTAACCTAATGGATAACGAATGCGTGTCTCGTAAAAGTTTGCCCGGAGGAGTGTTTAAGCCGATCCAGCGACCAGATTTATATAACGGGTGTTCATCGCTGTACCTCGTGCTTCCTTCAACTTCACTGCGATGTTTTCCTTAGATAGGACAGTAAAATTCCGATTGTCGAACGAGAAGAAACCGAGATTATTCTCGTTTTATTTCTATCACTTCGATTTAAAGCGGTCTTAATATTTGTCGTATCGAAAAAATCATTTTTATACTTTATGCGAATGCACTATTTTTTACTTATACTTTAATTCTTGTTGCAGGGTGCTGAGGAGATCTACTCGGAGAAGGAGAATATTGAAGACGTTAAGCGTTCCAAAAATCATTGCCTGAAAGGAATGAAGATTCGAAGTATTACGGAACTATGTACTAGAAATGAATCCAATAGATAGCTGCTTTCTGGTAAGGATAGAAGATAATTGAAATGCTTCGATATATCCTTCGACGAATGTTCTTCATCTGATTAGAACGGCAATCAAATGGGGTATTCCAGGTTGGAAATCGTCAAGTTTCGACTTGGTACCAGGGTCGATGTGTTGCGTGGAGAAATTGCGCGTTGTCAGCTGGCGAAACTCGGCGGTAAATTAGAAAGTGGTGAGGCGCAATCGTGTCCCCTAAGGCTGGGCGTCGGATAGGCGGTCCCAAACACAAAGTTAAACGGTCTCCCGGCACCTTGTTGGCCGTCCTCTTTTATTCATACACGCGACACACGCTCGAGTCCCTCTCCAAGCGTAATTATTCTTGGCAAGCGGAGAGATATCGACGAACCAAGGGACAATTATTTTTTTCCCCTGCTGTTAATTAGCGTTCTTCGCGGCGTTCCACTATTTACATGGCCGTGCATCGTTCCAAATTGTACATCACCATCGAAAATCTATCTCCTTTTCTCTTTCTCTTACTGCCTGCTGACAGTTTTCATATATCTTTACTCGGTTACTCAGTATACATTGTTATTCTCTTGGTTTCGGAACTATCAATTTATTATTCATACCTTTTCGCTTGTACCTATATGTATATCTAGTAAATGATTGCGGATTTATCGAATCTTAAGGCAATGGTCTCGGACGAAGCCTCGTTTGACGAATGAAGACAATTAATAATCGGCGGCGGCGTGTGATCTTAGCCTGCGATTCGCATCGTTAACGCTATTTATTACATGCTGCAACGTCTCGCGTGAAGGGTAGGGGGTTAGTCGAGCAGGGTAAGCGTGTAGGAGAGAAGGCGTCGCATGGATTTTTTCCGGAACGATCGAGAGATCTGTACGGATAGTCGCGATGATCGATCGTGGTCGGTGGATCGCGCGAAACTCGTTTGACTTGTCAATCGTGTACCCGCTTCCCTTAACCCGTGACCGAGCGTATTTATCGTCGGATTAGTGTCCAGGGTGCTGGACGTCACGCGAAAGATGAATTTCTGCCCTCTGATTTTTAACATTCGGGTTAAGGTTCTCTTCTTCGCCGCCTTCTTTTCTTTCTTTTTTTTTTTATATCCTCCTCGGCGAAGAATTTCGTTTATCTGATGAAGGTAATGTTACGATGTACGTACATCGATGGAACGTGTTCGCCGCTGGCTCCTAGCCGGTGTTAGCGTAATTTTCGCGCTCGCATGGAAGTATTACAAGCAGACTTACGATCGCGTCACGCTCATCTCCAGAGAACTTCGTCGTTCATTTTTATCAGATATCGAAAGACGGTGAATAATCGTAAGTTGTAATTTTTCGAGGATCACGTGGGGGAGCATATAAGCACTTGTTAACTGCGTGTATTTACCGTATTTGTTTATTTGCCTCTTTTCTGATTTTCGCTTAACCGACCTGAATACAAGCTTTCGTTGTTAAATTACATGTTGTAATTTTCAGGTCGAACTTGTGCGTGCTCTACCAGGAACGTAAATATCCAAGTGAGGCTTCTACACGTATGGATTTCACCGTGTTCGTCCTCGATATACGAACTTGGAATGCGTTTTTAAAGACAGCCGAGAGGGAGAGGAAACATCGGGAAACGATGCACGACGCACAATTAAACACGCTGGCGTGGCAAAAGCGATGGATTGTATAGGTACACGCGTCGCTCAGCTATTTTCTTCCGTTTGCTCGGTGTCGCGTGGGGGTTAATTGGCAGTCGGAGAAAAGGCTTTCATTAGAGGGCCCCGTGATGCATCGTCGCGCGACAGAAGCGAGGTGAACGCAACGATCCGCCCCCCTATGGGCATCGAAGTCGAAGAGGAAGAATACGAGAACGGAGGTGAACGGGGAGCAGAGACAGAGCACGCGGAAGACAAAAAGGAAGAGCCATGGAACGAGAGGGAGGGAGGGAGGGCAAAGAAGAAGATCGAGGGGACGAGATTAAA